TATATATGTATAGATATATATATATATATATGTATAGATATATATATATATATGTATAGATATATATATATATATATTATAATATACTGTTTAAAGCAAATCGATTTGGGAGGCCTATCCGTGGAGCATCGGGAGCAGGTTTATCGTGGAGTAATTGTGGCCCTAGTCAAGGATTTGGGTCAGACTGTGGAATTGAAGCGACTCAGAGTAGAGGAAGGAGCAGAATTTGAAGCTCTGGTGGAGAATCAGGTACGTCCCACATTCCAAGATTCTTCAGATATCTCAAAATTCATAAAAGCAACGAAGAAAATGCAGCACGAACTCGCGCTGCATCGTCCGGGGCAAAAATTCAGGCCCAAGGACGACTAACTCCCCAACGGCCGCACGGTAGTGTTCCCAGGATCGATCCGAAGGCCCCTCTTTATTGCAAGGTAAGAAGTGTCCTAGCGAGATGGAGAGAGAACGGAGCATCCCAGGAGCTTCTGCAGGCCATCGTGCGGGGCCTCCACCTTCATTGACGAAGGGTCGGTGGATAACAATTCCGGGGGTGGACAAGGCGATGAACCAGGCAGAATTCTTACGACTCGAAAAGGGCGGAATTATCCGACGTTGCCAGGAATCGGAGGCAACTTTGGTGCACTCAGCCTTTATGATACCAAAATCCGACGGGAAGAGAGGCCGATTGATTCTAAATCCGGAAAGCATCACCGCTCACGCTCAGCGGAAGACCTTCCGAACAGAGAGTCTAGAAAAATTGGCGCACGTTGCAAGACCGGGGGATGTAGCTATGTCAGCCGGCATAAAAGACGGCTTTTATGCGTTAGCTGTTGCCAACCCCAGGATCTGGCAATTTCGCGACCATAAGCACCAGCTATGGTGCTTCCTAGCATTATCGATGGGGGCAACATTCTCCCCAGCATGGTTCAACCAGCTGATGGACGTAGTGAGGAAAGTTACAAGTGCTCGAGGGATACGAATAATACTGTATGTCGACGATCTTCTGTTGCTGGGACGGCCGATGACTTGTCGGAAGCATGCCAGGATTATAACAGCAATATTCACGAGTTTCAACTCCAATTCGCACCAGGAAAAGGTTATTGGATAACACCAGTAAGCAGACTCCAACACCTACGCGTTCTCATATACTTGAGAGCAAACACCATCGAGATGACACCAGAGTTCAAAACGAAGGTCTTGAGACTAGCAGGAACAATCCGGAGCTTGGGTTTACAGAACCAGCGGCGCATACCAACCAGAGTTTGGCAATTGTTCTTAGGTTGCCTTCAGTGGGCGGGTTTCTCCGTACTCAGCTTGAGGTCCTTATAGCAGATCTCCAATAATCAGCTATCTGGAGTCGCACCTTCCGGATCCAACTTTCAGGTGCGACCTTCAAGAAGATAGAGCGCATTTCGCTCTTAGTGGAGATCTTCTGCTACCGACAAGTATGGCTTCAAGACCACCAAGCAACTATCGCCTTCGACTCCTCGAAGGTAGGCTTCGATGCCACGGCCCGATGGAAACAGACCACGCACACATTTACCGGCACTTGGATTCCAATGGAGAGTCGCTAGCCAATTCCAGTCTTAGAACTAAAGGCACTAGTTCTAGCCTTCGAGTTCTTCTTCAACAACACAAAGATCGGAACCACCCCACTTCTCTAGCTTACAGACAGCAGCACTGCGCTACATGCTCTGCGCAAGAGAAAGAGCCAGTCAAAGTTGATGAACGCCCAACTTCGCCGGCTAGTATAGTTCTGTCACCAGAACAAAGCTCCCTGGCCAGTAGCTCTCGGGTACATGCCGGGGAAACTCAACTTAACAGCCGATATGCTTTCGCGCAGCGGCAAGCTTTGGCTCTCCGGGGCCAGAATAGATACGAACCGGACGTTTGCATACGATTCCTTTACGTTTGTTCCAGCATCGCACACACTCCTTATCAATCTCAAGAAGAAAAATCGAGGAGAAATATGACATAAGTGCCACCGTCAGATCAAGCCTGTTTTCATGGCTATCTTGAATTTTTTTCAACTGGAAATGCGACAGGGACATTGCAAAATCCTATCGCAAACTAGAGGTTATCGATTTATCCAACATATATACAAATATTATACACACGGCACGAGTACCGAATGTGGAGAGCACGCAATGCGGAAGGGAAACGATTCTAATACCATCCACACATTGCTCAATAAAGATATTTGTGCTGCTGTGATTTCTTTAAAATACACTATTATGACGCACGATTGAATTTAATATATAGAGTGAAAGTTTAATATAAAATGATTCATTCCTTCTCCACGATCGGGTGCCCTCCAGCGTGTATCTTGAACGATGCGTTTCCATATACTCGTGACGGTATAAACGCACCATACGCGGCCATTTCATATTCTTTACTGCCGTCATCGACGATAATCTGCACACCATCGTCTGAAATGTATCTTTGGAAAAATCCAGATGTCTTCACACAACCTTCCGCAGTTTGATCGATTAAACAGTAGATATTAAGCTTTGGGTCGTCCAATAACGGGACGCTAGTGTACAGTTGATCACCTTCTCCTGGGTGAGTGTGGGTCGCGATGACCAGCCCAGAACAATCAGAAGTGACGTACATGCTGTTGGTAGTTAACCCTGATAGTAAAGACAGGTCGGCCTGAAATTCTGCCAAGGATGCATCGGGGATGTCGTAGTAGGCGTGACTCGACTTGAGAAGCTCATTGTCCGTGATTACTTCACCGTCCCGGAAAACCTGGGTATATACACTGTAATAGCCGGGCCTCCACAATAGACTCTATGTTATAAACGTACTCTTAAGCAGTACGTAAACTATAAACGTACTCTTAATAGAACGAGGAACTTAAGTTTCCTAAATGGTTTTTAACGGTTTTATTAATTAATACCTTTTCCATTATACATATCAGATATTTGGACAAGGCCATTAAAAGGACCCAGTAAAATACTAAACATAAGATTTGGTCTAGTTCTATTAATAGAACTATATTTACTTTCCAAATTTATTTATATCTGAATACTTCGGTCATCATTACCCACACTCACCCGGGAGAAGGTGATCAATTGTACACAAGGGGTACGCCAGATGACAACGTTATGTATAGCCTGTACTGCATGATCGATCACACCACGGAGGGTTGTGTTAAGGCATCTGGATACTCGTATAGATATATCACAGACGAAGGCATACAAATTATCGTCGAGAACGGCAGTAGGGTATATGATCCCATCCCCTTTAATACATGTATTCCTTCACAAGTATTTGGAGATGCATCATTCAAAGTCCACGCCGGAGGGCACCCGATCGCTAATTAGTTCTGAAAGCTCCCGCATTAAATTAAACCCTCATATCAATGATGAACGAATAATTTGAACTCACATATCAATGATGAACGATTTAAGTAAACTCACAATTCAATGGTGAACGGGGCCATGGTGTAATATGGTGGCAGGCTGTGTACATCACACACAGTGTTAGGGTGACAGCCCTCCTCTAGCTCCTGATATGAAAAATATAGTTTCTAATGATTTTAATGTCTACTAAATTCTAGAAGGTAGGTCGCACCAGCCGTTGCTTCTTCTTCATATTCTTGTTCAATTGCTCGCTCTGCTCGCCAAAGAAACTACTGGTGCTCTCATCCTCCATTTTGCGCTGTATGGGAACATACGATAGACATGATACATTAAATACTTGATTTCGTCACCAGGTACAGTTTGCACACCACCAAGTATAGTAGATTTCATAAGAGAGTTGACATTGATTCTGCTGCTGATAAGGATCATAGAATTCAGATGTAAATTCGGTCAGTGCCAAGGTCGCGAGAGAGTGTGGCATAGTATCACAAATGTGACATAAGTACAACATGACCCGTGTTAATCCCTTTCATGGCGGAGTTGTGTTGTATGTGGTCATTAATCTCGGTGGGCTTGTGTGCGAAACAAGCACAAAATACAATAACCGAACTCAGACCAATTTCCATACACACCAATAATCCCAGTCCACCACACTAATACCTTGATGTGATTCAGTGCCGCAACATTGAAGCCTATGATATTCTTTAACTCCGATATCCTGCCGCGCGTGTTCATGCGCAAAGAGTCCAGTGTGTCAACCATGACCTGGTTCGACACAATCTGCTTCTGATGCACGCGCAGCAGGAAGAACAGACAGCGACAGCACAGCTCCACACTCCACGATTTCTTGATCCAAGCTGGTAGGATTAGGATAGGTTGAAATATTAACGTGTAAAAAAACACAAAAAAAACACACACACACGCATATATATATACATGCATATAATAATAATAAAATATACAAAACTTGGAATGTTTATTGTAATCTTGACAAATTACCTCGGAGACACGCGAGTATATTGGTAATACGGCTGCATATACAGAAAAATGTTGATTGTGAATCCGCAACATACCTTCAATATACCGGAGTAAGTTGGTGCTATGATTGAACGGAAGAAGTAGAAGAGCCTCTTGCAAGTCGTTGGGTTTGATCTTCTTCACTATATGGAGAACGTACCTAATAAAATGCAACGGATAGCTTACGGTGTCAAACCTATTATGCCTAATAATTGACAAATGGCCGCGCTATGGGGCTATACAATATCTGTCATTGCATATATATATAATTGACAAATGGCCACGCTATGGAGCTATACAATATCTGTTATTGCATATATATACACATACATATGTATACAGGCACACAGGCACACAGGCACACACACAAATATATATATATAATAAATATATTCATACACACACACACACACACACATATATATGAGACTATTCCGAATGCATTCATCAGACCAACTGCTCGCACTCTCAGTCGACACACAAGTACACATACCTTTCCGGCGAGTCCATGCGCAGGTACTTCATAATAATATTCTGCTCAAACGGTGGAGGGGCGTCCACTCCGTTGATCTTTGCCAGAGCCACCGCCTTCTTATGCTCAGCCATGTTCTCGCGCTCATTCTCCTGTGTGTTTGTATAGTAAAATGGTGCGGTGTGAGATAATATACCAGCCCAAAACACACAGTGAGAGATTGACAAGGACGAGGTGTCCTACTGTAGCGAGCCAACATAGCAAGAACAACTCCTACATCGCCTGCATGAGATCACTCGAACACCAGACACGGACACAGACGCTGACACAAACACACAACAACCACAACCTGAACAACCACAACATCCACCCATATACACCCATATACACGCACATACAGCCAGCTCTATAGCGTCGATGATCTGCTCGGCGCCCTTGATGGTCTCCACAGTCTTCTTGCCTCCCAAGCCATCTGCCCCCACCATAGTCACATCCCCCTCCGCCTCACCAGCTCCAGCCTCGGCCGTATTCTCCGTGACCATCTCACTATCCATCGCTTCCTCGCGTTCGCGTTCGCGCTCCTCTTCCAGCAGCACCTGTTCGTCCGTCCTGGTCCAAACACGAAGGGACCGGTCGTGCGACCCGGACACCATGAACCGTCCGTGGTGACTGACTGCGGTGCACCAGACCTCGCCGTGGTGGCCGTTGAGTGTGAGGATGTGCTCGAAGGTGTCACAGTCCCAGTACTTGATGGTACGGTCTTTGCTGACGCTGAAGGCGTAGTGCGTGTTGGCTACAAAGGAGACGCCCATGATACTGTCCGCGTGGGCAAACATTGACCTGTGGACGGATAAGGGAACACACAGTGAGCTTACAGTAGGTAGGTAAGGCCAGTGAACAAAGTCGGATTACTGTCCATATGCGCAATGGTACATAGCTCGAAGTGTTATATAGATTGGCTAGGGTACGGCCGAAGCATAGTCCCATATCTCAGGATTCAGAACTCTGAATTCTATATCACATAATACATATATATATATATACACACACACACTTATTTATATATATATATATACACGCACACACACTTATCTATATATACATATATCCATATATAATATAAAATTTCATGACTCTGAACCGAAATACTATATCATCGTCCCAATGAAACCGTACCTGTGACAGTCACCAAAGTCCAGTCCCCACAGTTTGATGTTCTTATCGGCCGAGGCTGTGATCATCAGTGTGCTGTCGGCTGAGATGTCCATGGAGAGTACGGGGAGCTATGCCGTAGAAACGTACGCAGTATGTGAGGTGAGCATAACGTTTGAGATACCACTACCGATACTACATGCATAGATAAATTTACGTATATATATTGCTCGAATGTTTGATTCAACGTTTTGTTGGAGTTCTGTAAAACACCCAATAGTACCCATCTCTTAACAGCTAAAAGTAGAGAAATGAGATATACCACATGCGAACAACGTACATGCGAACAACAAGCGTAAGGCCCACATAAAGCCACTGTATGTACATATTCCTCCATACCTGTATAATATAATATAATATAATATAATATAATATAATAATACAATATAATAATTTAATAATATATATAAATAAATACCTTGTGCCCATATAGCGAGGTGAAGAACTTCAACGTGTCCTCAAAGAACAGCTTCACGGTACTATCTAATAAGGAGACGGCAATCAGTCTCTGGTCCGGAGTGTACTTGACACACAAAACATCATCGGACATCTTAAGCGTAGCTGAGTGCACGAAACCCAAGCGTTTGCTGGTAGTGGAGTACTCCTGGGTGTGAGGGAAGGGGGGATATTGCACTCAGTACTGGCCAATTTGGGGCGACTTGGAGGATAGTGAACTGGTAGGTAAGAGCTATTCTTAGAACACGTGCTCGATGGGCATGCCGATTCGTAGTAGGCCCTGACGCCACAAGGATCCCATATCTTTTTGATAAAAAACAAATACCCTGAGCACAGGAACTTGCTCTTAGTGAGCCCTTTGAAACCTTCTGCATACATCGGCAATGCCCTATATATGAATCCGAATAACCTATTAGTATACATACATACATACACACACACACACATATGTATCTATTCGCAATTGCTATACTCAAATATTCAATTCGGAAATACAGGTACACACACAAAGTGGCGTTCCGTACCTCGTCCGCGATAAGATCCAAATCCCAAAACTTGACATTCTTATCTGCGGCTCCAGTCACAAAGCGACGCTTGTCAGGGCGCATGGCTATGGACCACACACTCTCACCACCCTCGGTGGCCATTTCTTTCTGCAGTGAGGTGGCTGAAGCGATGTCGAACAGCTCAATCTCGCCCGTTTTGTATCTGGAGGTTGGGGATATGCCATGGTGTAGTATGGTTTAGTACGGGAAAGGAACTAGTTGGTCAGGTTCATCTGGGGATATAAACAGGCGAGCAGTTGAACTGGTAGTGCACGTGCTATGTTGTGGCTTCCAACACTATGGCTCTGGCGATAGAGTCGGAGTCTCAATGGGCAAAAAGAAAAAAAAGAACTGCAAGGTGAGTGACAACAATTACACTTCACTATAACGAAATAGACTATATTGCAAAACAGCCACGTGAGTATGTATCTACTACGTCAAGGATATATATACACAGATACATAGAACATAGATAAACACATATGCCCATACATACATACTCTCCGATTGATCGACTTACCCGACAACCACATGTCGATTTCCCGGAATGAAGGTGACACAGAGACAGTAGCCAGACGGCAGTGTGCGGATTACTGTCCTCGTAGCCATGTTCCATACTTTGATCTCATTGGACGAGCATGACACCAGCATTTTGCCTACGGATTTCAATACCGGAGAGAGGTCGAATGGGTCAGGGTGGTGGTGGTGGATGAAAGGGCGGACTATACAGCGAATGGAGAAACACACAGCTATCGGTTACGCTACTAGTAAAAAAATCATGCGTCCCCATTGGTCAATAAGTACGTATGCTACTACCATCTTGAAATAAATAAGAATATTTCTATCAGGTAGCTACGTGTGTATATACTCAACATGCATATTAGTTGACAGATCCTGACAGACACGCCCGTGTGATACGATACGAGCTAATACCAGTGCGCCCCACACATGCTGTGGTCCGATATAGCCACTCAGCGGCTGGTAGACCCACACTATGCGTAAAAGTACACAAAAGAAAGGCTACACATACTGTGAACAGATACAGTACACCAGTGCACATACTAGATGGTCACGCAGCAGCCTGCAGGTAACCACACACTGTCAAGCACTCAGTACTCACTGTACTCTAATCGAGCCTAGCATCGCAATGGCTAATACTACTGCTACACATTGTCGCACCAGATACGACACAAGCACAAGCAACCCAGGGCACATACTGTCGTCGGATATCGCCACACAACGGACGCCCGAGCGGTGGCCTGGTTGTTGCAGCTGACTGACAGGCGACGATGTGGCTGTTTTGGCGGAGAGTTTAATGGCATGGCTCTCGATGGTGTTGTTGTGCAGGGCTACCACCATGTCCACCTGTGGCAGAGGTGGGGAAGGATAAGAATAAGTATAATTAAGTATAAGTATATATATATATATATAGAGAAAGAGAGCGAGAGATTGGGATGAGTCTTATGAGTAGGTTCAGATAGGTACCGAACTGTTATTCGTCTCTTGAGAAAGTCACCACCGCAGCCAGACGCATAGATGGAGAGACCGTTTCCGGACCACAACAGGACAGATAGGCGACAGTTGCGCATGGCACTACAGACTGCAGAGATGGTACTGGATGCTCAGATGTACTCACCACAGCGAGCTAAGCATAGCACCAGCAAACCCCACAACACACGTCTCTACAGTACAGCCTCATAGCCCCAAAACACCCACACGACAACATACTACAGGCAATACCACACACCCGGGTATCTCCCGCGTCCAGGTCAATATCGGGCCCATTTTTTCTACGCGGGGTGCACCCAGGGACAGTACACAGACTAGTCCGTGCCGACCATTGTAGACTACAAGCAAGACTGACATACAACTACACACTCCCCTTTAAACCGTCACAACAGGCTACAACCCCCCTACGGCCCACTGGCTATACTACACACCTGAGTATCTCCCGCATCCAGGTCCTTATCGGCCCCCTTTTTCACGGTGCGGCCCCAGGCACAGGACACAGACTTTGCTGACAAGCGGAGGTTGTACAAGTGCACCATATGATCAGCCGCATCGGTCACAGCCGTCTCCACTTCGGATGTGCCTTTCTCTGCGGCTTTCTCACGCAGACGCTTCTGCCTGTATGTTTCATATGAGAATAGGTGTCCGGATGTGGGTATATATATAAATTTATATACATAGATTCATACATCCAAAAATACATTCATACAAATACATATAATATATGTATATGCATATGCGAAACGCTAGTATTGGAGACTTACCATAGCGATTTTTCTCCGATATGGAAGACAGAGCAGTACGATGCAATGGTAATCGTGGTCAAACATCGATACCGAAACAGCAAAAAACAGTATCTTGTACAGCGGATAATACAACAGATACGTCATATATATAGATATATACACATACACGCACACACACATATATATACATATATATCTATATGTATATATATATATACATATACATATATACATACACATAAGTATATATACATATATATCTATATGTATATACATATACATATATACATACACATAAGTATATATACATATATAGAAATATATAACATCCCGTGCAAACATAACCACCGCCCTTACCTTCGCTTCAGCTTCTTTGTCACCTCCTTCGGTGAGTGCAAACGGTAGAACTCAATTAGCTTATCGGCACTCTGTACAGCAATGGTCTGTGTGGGATTGTGCACACGCATGCTCACGACCCTCTCCTTGCCACTGCGCATCAGTTTGCCCACAAGCGCTATTCGTACTTTAGTGGCGGCGGTAGTGGCAATGACGTTTGCATCTGAGGGAATCAAGAAAGAGTGTAAGGGAGTCAGTATATATGGAGGTAGGATAGCTTCATGCTATCATTAAACAGAGAACTATGACTGGATATGGTTGCTGTAGAAGCACAATGTCGCCTTCTACAAATGCGTGATTACATGATTTAGGTATATATATATATATGCATTTGCATATACACACCCACCCACATATTAATATATATTTATATATACTTACCATCCAGAGCGTCGTCATTGTGTGTCGTCTCATCGCCCGCAGCCGCCGAGTCAAAGGCCACGGGGTCTGCGTCGTATAGAATGGTCCACACGTACATCTCCTCATTGGCTGTGCCAGAGATCAGCCGAGACTCCTCTCCATCCAACGCAAAGCTGCAAATCTATAGCAAATAGGAACGGTGCACAGGAAACGGTTGAGCGCAAAGCCCAAAACGGACCAAACCTTCAGATAAACGTACGTTTGCATACTATCCCTATCCGTTGATCACCATACGCATGTAGCAACTAGCTGTTGTTTTACTATCGCACCTACTGTCTCCCCTCCGTTTTCATATATATCAAGCGTGACCGAGGCTCTATCTGGCTACACTACATGAATCCTAAGACTTTCACGACCTCGTCGTGATCACACAAACACACATCGTACGAGTCCAATTCCACACACGTATACGCGATCAGTTCCTCAACCACCTGTATGCCACACACGCACCTCATTCCTGTGACCCACCACAGTCTGAGCACAATGCTGGATGTCCAGATCCCACACGCGGATGTACTTGTCCTTGGAACTGGACAGCAACACGTTAGCATTACGCAGGAAGTGTAGCCCTGTGATCACATCCTTATGCCCCTTGAGTCGGTACAGCCCAGTCTCTGCTACAATGTCCCAGACTGGCGAAGGCAAGTAAAATACGGGGTTAGACGTTAGGTAGAGGTACATATGTAAGTCATATAAAATATAGGGTTAACTGTTAGCTAAAACTGCATATGTAAGGAAAGTAAAATACAGTGTTAAATGCCAGGACATATGAATTCGTACACGGGCTTAATCCATAGACAGACGTTGCTGAGCTGGGGTGGGGGCATTCACCAGTAAGGTGGCTATATACACTCAGCAGTTGTACACACTTAGTACTTGTACACACCTAAAATATGCACACTTAGCACATTCGTGACAAGTATGTGGCATAGGAGGCAGTAGTCTCGTGCCAAAGGTAGGCCAGGATGAAGATACCGGCACCAGCCTACACCAATATATATATATATATATATATATATACACACACACATATATATATAAATATATATGACATATAGTGATATATTGGTGAGGTGCAAAATGGACTCAAGCGATGGTCACGTGTGGGTACTCAACGAGCCAGTCACATCCGGCAATAACTCGCCAACCAACCAACACTACCACTATACATCGCATCTCAACGACACGTCTACGAGTAGTCCCGTATATATATATATACATGTTTATATTTATATATATATACATACATACAATATACCTACCTATGATATTGGTGTCGTTTCCACCCGAGGCCAACTGCATTCCCTGCACATCAAAAGCCATCGCGCTTACAGCCGACTTGTGACCACTCAACACGACCATCAGGTCCCCAGACTCCACCTCCCATATTCTGATAGTCCCGTCCTCGTAACTATACAGACAGCCATGCAGATACAATGATCGTTTTAGGGTTTTAAGGGGTTTGGGGGTTAACCATGAGTGTGCTTCAGAGCTCAGCGGCTGAAAGGAATACTGCACTGAGACATGCATCGACACACAGCAATGACCAGAACTAGAAATAGGCAAGGCCAAGTACGTGTACATACATGGTGGGGATAAGTTGGAGATGCTGGACTGAGGTTTTTTGATTTAAGATATATAGATGTATATAAGGCAATGAGCATACGATACAACAATGTGAATTGATATATAAGATACGTTCACAGGCACATATTCTCTCATTACATGACTGTACAGTATGAAGACTACATATTCACAATGGACTCACACATATACCCCCTTTTCTCGAAAGGAATATGAACATGCATATGAATATAGTGATAAACAAACACACCCATAATGTATATATATATATCACTTATAGGATATATATATATATATATATTTATATATATACATACATATATATATATACATACAAATATATATATATACATATATGTATATGTACACACACAGACACACACATATATATATGAAAAAACAAGTGCACACACACACAAATATATATATATATATATGTATATATATATATATAAGCGTGTGGGTATATATATTTAAATACGTACTTACACGCATATATTTATATATCTATA